AGAGAAGAACCCAAGCTTGGGGACTCACACCTCCCGATTTCAAGACTTAACCACAAAGCCAAAGTAGTCAAGACAGCACAGCGCCAGACAAACAGATGAATGGGCAGAGTCGAGATCCCCAAAGTAGAACCTCACCAACACGGTGCTCAACTGACCTTGGACAAAGGAGCGAAGGCCACCCCACGGTGAACGGACAGCCCCCTAAACAGATGAGGCCGGTGCCCGGGTCTCCACAGACCAGAAGAGAGAGTCTCGATGTGAACCTCCGACAGTATATAGGGCTCAGTTTTAAAAGGACCGTATATTTAACTTTAAAGGTAAACAATGATATGTTTAGGAGAAAACACAGGGGAATCTTTTCCATCTGGGATTTGCTGAAGATTTCTTCGGCCCAACACCAGAAGTACGATGACAGAAGATAAAATTGATCCATCGATTTGCTCTGGGGGTGGGGGGGACACACCCTCCTCACGGCAGACTGAATTTTCTACCATCTTTCGTCCAAGGGACACCAGTGTAGACAGTCACCTGCAGATGAAAGCCCTCGTGGAGGTGCGGGAGTCCAGACCCTCCACACATGGACAGGAGACGGCAGAACCGACAGCTTCATGTCATCCACACCCCCTCCCCCAGAGCGGCCCGGCTCCCCACCCAGGGCCTTCTGGCCTGTGATTCCTCGTGGGGAGGAGTGAGCACGTGTGAGTGAGCGCTGGCTTCCCCAGCTGTGCGGACACTGCCAGACGCCCGCCCCCATCCTGCCTGGAGCACGAGGTGGCCGCGGGGCTGGACGGCAGGCGGCAGCCGGGAGGACACAGCCGTGGCTTCCGGAGCACATCCGAAGGACACAGATGCCACTGAGCAACACTGCAGAGTCCGTTAGGAAGTGCACCACGGTCCCAAGACTCGCCCACAGGAGCCCCCGACGCCCTGTGTGGCTCACCATGCACACAAGCCCCCGTGGCCGGTTCCCCGTGTGCTGCCCGGAGAAACCACACGTATCCCAGCAGGCGACACTGCCCTGGGAGGGCACTTGGCTGGTGCTTTGCGGGATCGAGAGAAAGCGTATCAAGCATATAAAAAAATTAACACCAATCCTTCTCAAACTCTTCCAGCACACAGAAAAGGAGGGAACACTCCCAAACTTCTTTTACGAGGCCAGCGTTTCCCGATAACAAAGCCAGACAAGGGCACTCTGAGAAAACTGCAGGCCGATATCCCTGACGGGCGTAGATGCACACATTCTCAGTAGAACACTAGCGAACGGACTGATTAAAACAATCCTCCGTCAGGGTCAGCTGCGATTCGTCCCTGGATGGTTCAACACAGGCGGCCCGGTAAACGTGGCGCACCGCACCGACGGGATGAGAGCAGAGAACCCCGTGGCTCTGGGTAGACGCAGGAACAGCAGTGCACAGATCAGCGGCCTCTCGTGATTATAAAACTCTCAGCAAAATAAAGCCCACACGTGCTGAGCCCACGGGTGACCAGGTGAAAACTTAGCCTCGCACATCAGAAGCGAGAAGGGAGCCCGTCCCCACCTCCCGTCAGCACGGAGCTCGGGGCCTGGCCAGACGGTCAGGCAGGAAAAGGGGATAAAAGGACCCAAATCCTACAGTAGGGAGGTGACATCATCTCCGGGCACAGATGTGATGTCATGCACACGACCCTGTGCGCAGGAAAGTCACCAAACAGAACTGATGAAGGCACGCGGTAAGGCTGCGGGGTACGAAGCTGTCGGCAGTGAGGCGTGAAGAGAGAAAAGGCGGTGCGTGCACACGGGGCTGCTGGCCCCCGGGACAGCCTGGAGGGCGGAGGGCGTCGCGCCACAGGAAGCCGGGCGGAGGGAGACGGAGGCCGCACGACTCGCTCACGTGGAGAACAGGCAGACTGTGGCTGCCGGGGGGCAGGGGTGGGGGCAGCGGGGCGGGTGAAGGGGACTGGGGGTACAAAGCCGCACTTAGAAAACGCAGCGGCCCCGGATGGGACGTGCCGCGTGGCGCGGATTCCAAGCACGGGTGCTGACACCGGGTCGCCTCATCTGCGCTGTGTGCGGGGACGTCAGCACAGGCTCGCGGGGACCGATTCCCGGCGTGTACGAGCACGAAACCTCTGTGACGAAGCCGATACACTGCTGTATGTCAGCTCCCCTCCCCCCCCAGCAAAATCACACAAATATTTTCTAGCTGCGGGGAATGGGCCCACGCTGTGAACTGAGCACCCCCACGTCCCCCGACCTCAGCCCTCACGGCCGAACTGCCTAAACGTGCTGGAGATGCCGTCAAGGCCTCTCTGTGCCCAGCAAGATGGGGCCTGCAGGCGCGGCCTCCTTAGGCTGCACAACGTCCCGGGGCGGCGTGACCATGAGGAGGCCGTTGCCAGATGCCTCTGGGGCCCCCGCGGTGGGGGGAGGGAGGACCAGGGGCCACGAGACCCTCCTTGGAGCCGCCTGGGGGGCCTCTGCCCACCCGCCGCACCCGCCTCCCCAGCGGTGGGCGGGGGTGAGCAGGAACCGCGCTGAGGCGTTTCCGCGGCCTAAGCTGGGGCTGTGCGGCCGTCGGTCTGGGCGGGAGGCGTCTGTGGCCGGGGGAGCGTCCGTGCCCGTCCCACACCCGCACCCACGTGGGAGGGCTTACGTGGCGAATGCGTGACTTTAGTCGCCCTGTGTGTTCACAGCTGTCGGCCCCCTTTGGGGAGAAGGGAAGGAGTAAGGGCACAGGAAAAGCGGTTCGGTCTCAGCGGGGACCAGAGAGACGAAGATGCGGACGGGTTCACATGTATTAAACTGGCAACAAAAATACTGACAACAAACATTTCTCGCTGGTAAAATATCTGAAAAAGCAAGAGTTCTCAATACCGTGTCACCGGTGGTGGGCGCTGACCCAGTAACTCGCCATGGAATTATTTCCGTTTTGATGCAGAAACCCAATTTTGAACTTTTAACCTGGAAAATAATCAAGATAGGAAGAAAAGCCATAAGCAGAACAACATCAAAGACATCAACATCTGTTGATCTACCTACCAGGTGTACGAAGAGAGAAACGTCTCGGAGCAGTAACATTACACGCATGTAAATACGTAGGCGCCGTACAGACACCGAAGTGTGGAAATCATCTCACTGCAAGATAATTCAAGGATCGGGTAAGGCACGCAACTGGGTGTTTCGTGCATACCCACTGCAACTGTGATTCTGAATGATACACAGCAACACGGAAGATGGTGGAGGAGTTTAAGAGCAGATGGCCCCGTGGCGCGTAGGACGTAGGAGTACGTCAGGTCCATCTGCCCATTTGCAGGGACGTGAAAACAGCACAGGAAGGCGAATGCGCAGGGCTGGGCGGCCGGCGGTGACTGGAGCTCCCGCACCCAGCACACGTCTACACGGGCCGCACAGACCCTCTCCCCGCCCCCCTCCCTGCCCCCGCCCAGTGGCCAGTGCTTGTCCCCCAGCCCGCCCTGGCGCGATGCTCCCGAGAGCCGGGGCGTCATCCACTACAGCGTCCCCAGAGCTAGGATGTGCTGGGCACACAGCAGGTGCTAAATAAATGTCTGCCGAGTGAATCCCAAGGTAGGATGTCACCCACGTTTCTCCACAGATTTTTGTCATGAGACTCAGTCCCGCTCACCTCCCACAAGCAAAAGACCTTAGGACCACACTTCATCTTAAGGACATTAAGATTTTATTTCATAAAAATCACAACATATTTCCACTCCTCAGTGGCATCCATTGTCTTTCCTGTGCAATGAACTATTCTAAACACACAATGCTTTCCAATTTCTTATCTTTGGCCAAATTCCGTGTAGATGATAAAGTACTGCAGAAGCCGAAATCTATAGCCTATAAATAAAGTGCACTGCTTTCCTTCATTACAAATAAAAATTTGTTCATTTTTTCCCTTGATAGATTGGCTACGTAGAGCGAATATGCTGAGTTTAAAACAAAGGATTCCATCTGAAGTAAAGATGGTTCCTTACTTGATTTGCTTCACCAAACAAAGAAACAGAAATCCGAGTGTAGACCTTAGGAATACAGTGTTCTCACTTCCAGTGCTCAGGGCCCTGGCAAGGGTCTCAGGCCGAGTTACAAGTGATCTGGTTTCTGGGGTCACGAGGGGAAGCCTGGGCTGGGCTGGGCGCGCTCGGACTCCTCACCACTCCCGGGGTCTTGGCTGCCGCCTACCCCCAGCCTGTCCCCAGGGGCTGCACAGAGGGCGAAGGACATTGTCACACTGCGCTGACTCGGCTGCTGCGCCCGGGGCCACACTGGGAGGGGGGAGCAGAGATTCACCGCGATTGACACGTGGCTCTGCGTCCCACCCCTTCCCGCGCAGGGGACGCCTGCGGGTGACTGGATGAGGGTGCACTACGTTAGGAAGGCCCCCGACCGAGATGGAGAAGGTCCACAGAATTGTGGGGAAACCCACTCCGGGACCCGGTGGGCGTGTGGGGCGGGAAGGGCAGATGCCACCACGGCCACAGTTTTACGGGATTTTCCAGTATCAGCTACGCGTCTGAACTTCTCACCCACACGTCTCACAGACAGTTAGCGCTGACGCCACGGAACAAGCTGTCACAGCCTCTGCTTATGAACATTTGGTGGCTTCTGGGTTCACATCTAGGGTCAAAGACTCTGCCCACACACCAAGTGGCAAGGGTCACTTCCCTCTCCTACGGGGCTGAGTCCCAGTCTGCAAACCAACATCAACTGGAAGACCAGGCCACTGTCAGGCCACCCTCCCTGGGTCCGTGGTTCTGGTGGCCTCGTGGGCAGCAGCTGGGCATCCGTGAGATGTGGCTGCCTTTGCAGCAACACGGACCATAGGGCACTACCGCCACCGCATCTGCCCATTAAACACAGAAGGGTGTCCGTGAGTGACCAGGAAGCAGCTCTGGGGAAGGTGGGCCCAGGGACCCACCCGCAGGCCAGCACCCAGCTCCAGGGGGGCGCGGACACGGGGGGCTGTGGGCACGGGAGGGCACAGGAGGGCCGTGGGCATGGGGGGCTGTGGGCATGGGGGGGCACGGGAGGGCCGCGGGCGCGGGGGGCACGGGAGGGCACGGGACGGCCGCGGGCACGGGGAAGGCTCGGGTGCTCGCAGCAGGGCCCTCGGCAAGGCCAACCGTGAGAGCGAAGAGAATGCTCTTCACCCGTGACTGGGCCTGAGCAGCCAGAGACCCCAGCCCAAAGCCCCTGCCCCAAAGAGGCAGCAGGGTGGGGGCGTGAGGGGGCCGGGGCGCCGGCCTGCGGGGGCGCCTCCTCTGTTGGCGCTGGCTCCTCGGAGCTTGCTGTGGCTGATCAGCAGGTTGAGAACATTCTCACACCCCACACGGCCTGGCCCTCTGGGGGCGCCGGGGGGCCTCCACCGCCCCCACGGGTCCTCCCCCTTGGTCCCATCGTGGCGTCCAGGCTAACTCGCCCTCCTGGTGCTGCAGCCCCTGGGGCCCGTGTGCCCATGGCAGGCGCCCGGGGGACAGTCACTTGCTGCAGGACCGGAGCCGGGAGGGCTTGGGGCCCCGCAGTGGGCTCCGTCACACGGGGAGGGCGGGAGGCAGGGAAGCCTGTCACGGGGGCCACGACCCCACATGCAGACAGCAGCGGGGGGTGGGGCTCACGGTGAAGGCAGGGCGTTTCTCGGGTTCGGCCTGCGGGGTGCGTTCCGAGCAGGACGGCGGGTCGGCGGCCTCCCTGCTCACACGGCGGACAGGTCCACGCGGTGGGCAGAGTGGCTGCTCTTGTCCCAGGGGCTGAGCCTGGTGGACACCGTGCCCGGCCGGGTCCCGTTCATCTGCGAACCACAAAGGAGTGAGCCGCGAGGTCCCTGCCCCAACGTGAGAGAGCAGTCCCGGGGGCGCGGGAGCGCTGGGCTGGGAAGCCGCGGGAGGCTCCCCTCCAACCCGCCCCCCCCCGCTCCCCGGAAGAGGGCCCTGAACTCCAAGGCCACACTGCTCTCCGCCTTCTGCACGGACTCCTCGTCACCGCTCCCGGAGCTGGCGCATGCGGTCACTGCTGCGCTCTCGACGGGCGCTTACAGAGCACCCCTGCCGCCAGGGGCTCCGGGGTCACAGCGGTGAACACAGCCAGCCAGACCCTTGTTCCCGTGGTGTGCACCCCCGTGGGAGGCAGACGACGCCACACGCACGGAAAAACAAAACCATGCACACGCAGGCGGCACAACGCGGCACTGGGGCGCTGTTTCCCCGCGCTGCCCGGGAAGCTCTCCCTGAGGATGGGACCCCTGAGCCAGGCCCCGGGCTCAGCTCGGAGGTGGTGGCGCCATGAGGACGCATGTCATCTGCCCCGGGCGCCCGGTGGCCCTGCCTGCATCTCCCACAGGAGCCTGGTGTTGAGATGACAGGCTCGTTGAGATCCCTGAGCACCAAGACCCCAGTTCTCGGGCGTCTGCAGAGGGGGGAGACCCCTGAAGGCCGGGCTGTGCCTGGTGACCCCTGTGCCTCCCTGGGACACCGCCAGCATGCCCGGTGCTGCTCCCTGGTCACCTGATCCTCCCATCCTCCTGACGCAACACGGAAGCTCCGACCCGGGAAAGGGGCAGGAGAGAAGGTCGTGTGGTGCCACCTGGACGGAGGACCCTGCTGTGGGCGTCCCGTGACCCCAGAGCGCACGCGGGCGCCGGCCGGGTCGGGTATGGCAAGGCTGAGCAGGAGCCGCTGGCACCGGGCTTTGCCGCCACAAGCCGCGCGGGCAGCCCCTGACGGCGCGGCCGTGCCGAGAACGGCTCAGGGAAGGAAGGACGGGCGCCGGGGCCTGGGTTCTGGAGGCCCGGGAGCCGCCTCGGCCTTCCAGGCGACAAGCACGGCAGACGGGAGCGTGCGGGCCCACGAGGGTGCCCGGGACAGGGCCGGAGCGCGGAGGGGATGCACGCGAGACGCGGCACGGCACTTACGACGTCGGAGCTGAAGGGCTTCGCGTTAGTGTTGCGGGTGGAGCTGCTCGTCAGGGTCCAGACCTTGGTTTTGTGCTTGAAGGCGGCCCTCACCTTCGAAGGCAGATGGAGGGTTGGTCAGGGCAAGTTCAGTGGCGAGAAACAGCAATAGCGAGAGATGGTTCTGAGAGGCCCCTTGGAATCTGTGCTGAGATAAAGTCCCGGGACACGGGCCGCAGGGTACGGGCCGCATCTGGCGGGTGCGGGCTGTGCCCATCACCGCGCCGGGGCCACCATGGGGGGAAAGCTGGATCTGGCGTGGCGCCTGCTGGTTCTCGACGGGGCCGGGACGTGCTCGACAAGGAGGGGTGGAGGGGGCAGAGTGACCGGCAGCCGCGACGGAGACGAAAAGTGAATGCAAATACGGGGTGCGCTGTGTGTGGCTCGAGGCCATGTCCCCTCCCACCTCGTGACTAGTCTGGGGCCCCGGGCTGCTCCCTGGTCTTGGCGGTCACGTAAGCCCTCCCCCACTGCTCACCCTGCCCCTCAGCATCTCTCCCTCCCTGCCTCACCTATCCCTGTACAAACAGACCCTCCGCAGAGGGCGCAGGTGGGGTGCACCTCTGCCTGATCCCCCTCACCAGCCCCAAGGAACCCCCCATGACTGAGCCTGGTGGGCTCTCCAATGTTAAGTCCACGATGTAAATGTAAGTATGGCTCCTGAGAAACAAGGCCTGGCGCCTCTACCCTCCCCACGGCCAAGCGCATGGCAGGTGTGATGCCCGGACTGTACGGAGACCGAGCCCACCCGGCTGCCCCAGTGCCTGCGGAGGGCCTGTCACACAGCCCCCACAAACCCTGCAGTCACGAGCCCTCCTTCTTACACCCCAGCTTCCTCATGCCACTGGGAGGAAACCTGCATCTTACTCTCCCTAGAGTCAGGTCCGGCTGCCACCCCGCCCTCCACAGAGCCAGCAGGGCCTGCCTGATGCCAGGAGGGGGCGCTGGGTGTTGTTGCTCAGCAACCAGAAGTCGAGAGAAGGGCAGACGGAATGCAGCCGCACTCTACACGACTTGTCGCCACTACCAAAGCCTGTTAGGGATTGCGTTCCCGGACCCCAGCCTGACGGGCACGACTATTCCTGGCTCTGTGCCCTTTCAGAAACGTAGAGCCTGCTTCACGTCATCAGGAAGTAGAGTGGACGTACCTCTGAATTCAGGAGACAATGGAAAAGGAAGATGAAAAACCCCTGGGGAGGAAGGGAGAACACAGGGTTAGGGCCCTTTATTGCAGCGCTTTCAGAGGCCTCCTGGGCTCTGGGAGGTCCCGCGTGGCTCAGTGCCAGGGAGCCCGTAGGTGAGCTGTGTGCCAATCCTGATCCTATGGTTTGGAGCTCCTGAGGATGGAGGGGCATCCTGGATCCCACCCTGAAATTAACCTAGAGGCAGGCACCCTGTATCCACACAGGCTGATTCCCAGACAGGCTGGACCCAGGAATGAGCAGAAATGCTGGGAATGGACAAAGGTGAGGACACTGGACAATTCCCTGACGTCCTCATCTCAGACAGCCTGATGATAACAACGAAACAGGCACAAGAATGAGGATGTCCCCAAAACACTGGAGACAGCCACCGTGTGTCTAACACCAGGCAACACCTCACGTGAATTATCTCCTCTCGAGCTGAAGGAGCCCCATCAGTGGGTCCTGTTACTGTTCTCACTGAATGGAGAAGGAATTGGGATGCAGAGAGGAGTGAGTGCCCCAGGACCCAGGGTGTGTACGGGCTGCAGCCAGCACAACCGATCCTGTTTTTCTGTAAACAGCCACGGGGAAACGATGGGTGGAAGCTTATTACAAATTAGAAGCCATCAGATGCAGTCCCTGGTCAGGAAGACCCAGATGCAGCGCGGTGAGGGCTGGCGGGCCGTGCTCACGGTCACCAGGATTCAGCCTGAGGCTCAGCCGTGTGGGCTGTGGGTGGTGGTGAGCACTCACTTCCATCCCTCCTCTGGGGGGTTGTGGGTCTGGGGACTCAGGATCCAAGCAGCCCAGGTCTCTGGTTTCCAGGCTGCTCGCCCTCCCCTGTCCGTCCACACAGGGGACACATGTGAACCCAGACCCGAGAGACACACCGTCACCACCTCTCTACCTTGGCACCCTTTCCAGAGCTGCCCACATGCGAACTGTCTTCCCTTTCGGGGCTGGGTGCACCCCCGCCAGCGCTAGCCAGTGGGTTGGACAGGGTGACGATCCTGTAAGCCCTGGGCGCCTGCTGTGAGCCGCCATCGACGCCTCTGTGCCTGGCCCGGGGCACTCACGCTACGGGCTCACAGGGTGTGTGGCACGAGCAGAGAGGAAGGTGTCCCTCCTGCCCGGGGACAGCCTGCTGTGCACACCGCCGCGCACGCAGCGGCCCACCTCGCCCAGGAGTCCCGCGGGCTCTCACCTGTAGGGAGTTGAGCGCGGCAAACATGTACTGGAAGGCCACAGCCTGGTTGTTGACAGCGAGCACGCCGAAGACCCACGAGGTTCCCAGGATGGGCAGCAGCACGGCCACAGCTTTTGCCGTCAACCTGAAAGAGCGGTGGGTGGACACGGCCACTCTGTGGGTAGGCAGGTGACAGTCTCAGGGACTGGCCTCTCGACAGGAGGCCTCTGAGGGGGCGCGGACACAGACCTGCCGGGGCCGGGCCTGGGCTCCGCCCTGCAGGTAATCTTGGGCGAGGAGCCGACCACTCAGGACCTGGGACAGGGTCCCCACCCAGCGAGCAGCTCCGCCTCCGCTCCCCTGCAGCCGGCACCGCGCACCCGGCAGCGGGCAGCACGCCCTCTAGGCGCCCTCACTGACCACCCTGATCCTCCGGCAGCCGCGGAGAGCCGCACTGACGCTCTGGCGGGACGGACCCTGTGGGGGGTGGGGGGGCATGCCCAGAATCAGCCCCGCAGGCTCCTTCTCAGAATGTGGGTTCTGTGACCAGAAATGTGGTCCCTCCTGTGTCTGCAAGCCCGGGACAGAGCTGGCCCCGAGTCGGCGCCCAGTGAGCGCTAGCCGGACTAAGGTCTGACCCCATGGAGTTCTGACACACCACACGTCTCCCCGACTTCAGAAACTGCCCAGCTTAGCACCCCGGGGCTTCTGCACCCTGGCTTCAGTGGAAAGCCTGGAGACAGATGCGATGAGGCTGGGACACCAGCCGGCCCGGGTCCAGGCTGCAGGGAGGCTGGGGACACGGGCCGGCCTGGGGCCAGGCTGCAGGGGGGACTGGGGACACCGGCCCAGGGCCAGGCTGCAGGGGGGGAGGGCGCCACCGGGGGAGGGGACAGGCAGCCTTGCAGGACAACGCTGCCTCCTCCCGCCAGGGAAGAGGGACAGACGTGCTCCCTGACCCGGGGGGGCCCTCCTGCCCCCCCACCCCGTGCTGCCCTCACCGGCCTCTGGAGGCTGAGAAGGCCCAGGAGGCCCGTAGCCACGCGTCAGTTTAATTCACGGTGTTTGGGATTCATTACAGAATAACTGTCTCATCGATGTGTGGCTGACATATTTACTGCTTTTGCTTTCCGATCAGAAAAGACACAGTAGCTAAAGTGACTTACAGCCTATCAGCTGCCTAGTGTCCCTGCTCTCAATGTTCATAACAGCCCGAGTTCCCTGTGAGGAGCCACCCCACTTCCTGGCCCTGTGATTTGGGAGTGCTGACTGCACGCTGGAGCCACGATGGACCCAGAGAAGCAGGCCCAGGTCTCTGGTCATTTCCATCCTGCTGTGCCTGATTCAGGTGTGACCGGAGCGGAGCCCCCGGCCTCCGGGCTCAGGATCTCTGTCTGAACAGGTGGGATAGAGGGTCTTCCCTGTGTCACCAGGTCCATGAGCATGAAGGTGCCAGGGGACACAGGGCTGAAAGATGCAGAGGGGCTGGGTCACCTGGCTTAAGCAATTCTAGACTCCCCTCTGGACTCTGCAGCTACCTCCGTGGATAAACCCCCTTTCCTTCACTCGGGCCATCAGTCACCAGCAATCAGTGGGGCCCTCGTGATATGGGGTCAGGAGCCCCTGAGGGCAGCAGCTGTGGGGTGTGAGAGTGGAGTCCGTCCCCAGGGACACCTGCTTCTCCTGCAGATGGACCAGTCCAGTAGCCCCCTCTTTCACAGGTGGGGCTGTGAGGCTGGGTCTGGTCGGAGGAGCTACATAACAGACAGCCCAGGACGGGAGCCCAGGGCTCCCCAGAGCCTCCTGCCCACTACCTGCAGCGGCTTTGTGCCCCCTGCGGCGGCCGTGTGCGGCCAGGATCCCCAGCGACGGCCCCGCGTCCACTTACTTGAAGGCACTGGGATCCCCATGGATCTTGTAGCTGTCAGCGCTGATCCGGGAAATGACCCTGGTCACAGCGACGAGGATGCCGACATTTACCTGCACGAGGGGAGCAGTGGGAGCCGAGGTGAGGGCACGGCTGCACCTGCAGAGGCCCTGAGCCCACCAGGCAGCTGCCCAGGCCCCCTGCCCCCCATACCCTGAGCCCACCAGGCAGCTGCCCAGGCCCCCCGGCCCCCGTGCTGAGCAAGCAGGTGGCGTTGGCAGACATGTAACCCACACAGGTGCCTGAGTGTTCACCTCCACTTGGCACACGGACGAGCACCCGCTGGGAGCTCACGTCGGTGCCCCAGAGAAGGGGGCAGCCACCCAGCCCATTCTGGCCCCCAGGCGCACAGCGAAGGAAGGCCTGGGGTTCAAACCTCATTGAGCATCGCTCCCTGTGTGGGACCCCACGTGATGTGCTCATGCCCTTGAAACCTCAGTTTCCCCACCTGATGAGAAACGGTGGTGACGCCCACAGTGCAGACAGATCACTGAAGGGATAAGAACGCGCATCCATAAAGGTGCCTGCGCACTACCGGGCCTTCACTTCGGCCCCGCCCAGGCCCGAGGCTGGGCCACAGGAGCATCTGCCCAATGCTACCTCCTGGCTAGGCACCTGCTGGAAGGCTCCCCCTGGGGTCTGTGGGGCGGGGGCGCTCAGGGGGTCTCTGCAGAGGCTCAGGCACAACCTGTCCCCTCCTGAGCAGCTGCAGGGCCCTGAGTGAGCCCGGCACGGCAGGAGGCAGCAAGGGGAAGCAAGAGCCAGGATTTCCTTCTGCTACTGCCGGATTCAGGCCCGTGCTGTGGCCAAGACCTCCTTCCTCCCTCTGCAAAACCCGGAGGTCAACGACAAAGTCACCCAGGAGTCCAGCTCCAGGCCCAAGCCCTCTGTGCACTGCCAGGCCCGACCACGGGCAAGGTCAAGGCCTCACCAGCCGACCTCCCGGGCAAAGCAGCCCTCCCCACCCCGGCCTGACACACAGAACCGCAGGCCGGGGCTCAGGCCTCCCCTGGCGCCATCCCCATGGGCAGGTCTGCGCTCCCAGCCCAGGCACCTGCCTCTGAGGCCTAACGGGGGCTCAGGCCTCAGGACTTCCGAAGCCTGACGCCTCCTCACCCCCGGAGCCTCGCGGACACTGCCCCAGAGTTCTGTGCTTCTCCAGGGCAGCTCTTCTCCGTCAGCCTCCTCCCCGGCCTGGCCGCCTGGCCTCCATGCAGGCCGTGGACCCAGCGCCCGGGGGAGGGGCCCTGGCCTGTATTACTGCACTCCGCCAAGAAAGTTCCAGTGCACACGCCGACCGGCTCCATGTCGTCACCACACCTCACCCCCCCGGCAGCCCGGCTCCTGGCTTCAGACCCACGTCACCTGCCCCCGTCTCTCAGCTGCACAATGAGGATCATCACAGGGTCACCCAGGGTCAGGGAGGACGAGACAGGCCAATGACAGGAGTTCACCAGCGGCAGAGCCCTCCCTCCCCCTCCCCCACTCATCGTGTCAGGACCACAGAAAACCACGCTCAGCCACGCGGAGAGAGGCCCACAGAGATGCCGTGACCACGTCAGCAGACGACTGCTGCTCAGGGAAGTCCAAGCGCGGCTCAGCTCTGAGAGCACCGGGCATCCCCTCCGGGCAGCGCCCCCCCCTCCCGGCGGCGCGAGGACAGGGTGGCCCGGAGCCCGCGGTAAAGCACAGGACTGGGCTGTCATCTTGACTAACTGCTTTTCAGCTTTACACCTTCGGTAAAACCTGGAGTTCTGAACCCTAAGCCGTTCGTGTCCTTGCACACGTGGTTCTTGCAGGACTCGGCGGGCGCCGTGGGGGGAGGCGCCCCCTGGTCCCGTCGGCCGCCCTGCAAGCCCGGCCCGCCCACTCTGGGATTTTGTATCCTGGGTCCCCGGACCCCTGGACTGAGCCGAGGCCTTGTTTGGAACAGCAGAAGGCTGGAGACCCCCGGGCTGTCGGGAGCAGGCAGCGGGCCTGGGGGCGACCATGCCCCCTGCAGCCGCTCCCCACAGGTGCCAAAGCCAGAGTCCAACAGTCCCGGTGAGGGGCAGCCCAGCCCGAGCGCATATTCACGGCCACCACGGCCGCAGAAAGCCCCGAGGCGGCGCAGGCGGTCGGCAGCGGGCCTGTCTGCTGGGGGAGGTGGAGACGGGGCTGAGACGTGGGCAGACTGTCCAGACGCATTAAGCTTCCTGAGCACGTGTGGGAAAATTCCAAAGTCGAGTGGCTCCCGTGAACAGAGCCTCACCCCGCCCCCCGCCGCTGGACGAGGTCACATGACTCCCCCGCCCCGGTGGGGGTGGGGGGGCACACAGCCCGTGACTGATGGGATTTCAAGCCCTCTGTCACCTCCTGGTTCTGCATTAGGACCCAGAAGGGAGCATAGCAGCAACGGGTAAGCCCCTGGCATTTCTGGCTACAATTTGTCATCATATTCTTCTCTCCAGAGAGTTCTCTGGGGTTTGTTCCCCCTCCGGGGCTCTCTCCCCGCCAGGGTCTGCATGCTTTCATGGGGCGAGCACTCTCCCGGCCTCCGTAGGACAGTCCCCTCTGCAGGACAGTCAGAGAGGAGGCGCTGACCTCCGACCCTGCGACCCACTCGTTCAGGGGGAGGCTGCGGCTTGGAGACAAAAACACCCAGTGTTTCAGGAACGCCCCAAACAGCAGTGGCCCCCCAACCCTGGCCACTCGTTCTGGTTGGTGCCTGGCCGCCAGCGGGAGAGGCCTTGGGGTGAGGCACGTGCGCCACGCCCCCGGGGGCTCCATCAGCCAAGCGCCTCTCGGTGACAACACCCAACAGATGCCGAAGGAATAATTCATGGGCTGCGTCTTAGCAAGAAAGATGGGAGGTGGATGTGCACCCCAGGTCATGTGACCACGGGGGCGGCTGGGGGGGAGCCCAGGATGGGGCTCGGGGTTCCTTGACTTTGTGACACGCCGTCGGGACGGACACCACGACTCACAGGGAAACTGCCACGTGTAAACGTACAGAAGACACCAATGTGTGCGCCGACCTTTGTCCCTGCAGAGCCTGCCTCTGGGGGTCTGTGCCTGTCACTGTCACCATCACCCTCTGTGTCTGCGCCTCGATGTAGGTGGGCCACCCTGGCTTCTCTGCGGAGGACATTCCAGAACTCCTGCGACTCCCGCGACTCTCCGCAGAACTGGAGGCCTTGCCCCGTGGAGCCTGCACAGAAGCAGCCCCTGGGGGCGCAGGCAGAGGTGACCCCGCCACCCCCCGAGTCCCTGCTGTTGGGGGTCCACGGCTCCTGCACACCTGCTGACCCTGTGAGTCTGCACGAAGCCTGACAGGAGTCATTCAGGGCCAGGCACCCGTGTCCCCTCCCCAGCGGGAAGCGTGTGCAGGGACGAGGGCTGTTCCTGCACGGGGCTTGCCTCTGCCCCCGCCTCCCCTGCTCTGGCCCCACGGGCCCCAGTGACCCTTCACCGTCCCCCAAAGTCCCACTTCACCAGAACGGTGCAGAACATTCTCCCCAGGCCGCAGTCCTGTCCCAGAGCCCCCAGCCCCCTGCACATGCTCATGTGAGCCTGTGACCAGTGAGCACCTTCCACCCCACACTGCGGTGGGGGTGGGGGGTCGGGCTGAGGTCGGGGACAGCTGCTGGGAAAACGGAGACGCGACTCCCGGCACACAGGCGGGGCTCCTGTGAGGGGTAAGGGCCCCCCCAGCCAGACCTGTGGGAGGCCCGACAAAGTGGGCAGGACCCCCCGCTGCAGCCCCGCACCAGGTCCACACGCTTTTTCTGTGACGGGCCGTGTGGGCCCCGCGGTCTCTGTAAACAGCTCAACCCGGCGGCTGTGGCACAAACCCCACCACAGACACTTGTAAGTACGCGGCTGTGGCCGTGTGCCCACAAAACTGCCCATAAAAGTGCGCAGCGGGCCGCCGTGGCCATGCTCAGCGGACCCCGCACCTGCCATGGAATCACATGACCCTCAGCGGCGCCTCCTCCCCCTGGCGCCAGGGTTCCCGTGTCCCCGGGGAGCACCGCGGTCCACAGTGGGATCGCCGGCCGGCTAGGAGAGGGCCGGGTCCAGGAAAACCACAGCCTCGGAGGTGGGCCCCAGGTGGGGCCAGTAACTCCATCATGTGACACGGTCGACGCCTGCTGTCCTCGAGGGCTGGTGGCTGACATCCAAAGGTGGGGCCAGACAGGGTCCGGAGCTAATGCCCCCTCAGCAATGGCAATGGTGGCTCCAGCCAGCCTGGGGACATGGGAGGCTGGGACCCGATGCCGGACCCCACGCCACGGCGGGTGCTCCTCCGGGTCCCCAGCTGTCACTGACCAAAGTCACGTTACAACTCAGATCTGGGCCGTCTGGGCCGGGGCCACCCTGCCGGGCCTCCAGGTCAGTACGGACAGAGAGCAGGGCACGCAGTCAGCCCCTTCCTTCTTCGCCCTTGTCATTAATGTCCCTTCAACCTCCCTCCCAATGTCCATGCTCTGACCAGGGGGGCTCAGTTACTGAGGGGCCTGGAGTCTGTTTTGAGCCTGTTTCTACCTTTGTGCTGAGCAGGTGACATCCTCCCAGACTCCAGAGAGCGAGAGGGAACACAGGATCCGACTGAAGCCCCTGTCATCCCCTAAAAGGCCTGGTGGTAAAGTGACCGCAGCTGAGCCTCACACAGCACTGGGGACAGGGGACAGCCCTTGGGGGTGAAGGCTCAATCACACGTGGACACATCACCTCCTGCAGCTAAAGTCAGTTAAGTGAGGAACTGCGGCCGTTCTCAGGGCTGCCTGTTGATGAGGGAGGGGCGCTCTGACCCCTGCCCCGCCCCATTCCTGACCTCTCGGCCCCTCCTGGAAGGAGACTTCCTATATAGAACCGGTGTGACATCTGTCCTGGACCTGACACCCCGCCTGCTGGGTTCTCTGCCGGGTCCGGCTCCTCTGAGCCCCTCTCCTCTGAGGAAGCTCTCTGTCCTCAGTCCATCCCCAGACGGTGGCTCGGCCTCCCAGGGCAGTGGCCACAGATCACCGCGACAGGGCACTGAGCTGGGGGAGCTGCACCAGCGTCCCACCCACCGGCAGGCTCCGCCGTCAGCCCCAGAACAGACGTGGGGGCGACATGACTGGCTACTCCGGTCTCCCCACAGGCCCAGCCATTTGATGGGAGGCCTGAATTCAATTTTAAATACGACAACACTAACGCTGTCGGGCCCACTCGGGGTGGGCACACAGGACGTTTCTGTGGGCGGATTGGCCCCCCGGAGCCTGTCTGCAAGCCCGTGAGGGACACGAGCCTTCGTGGTCTCCAGCAGCCCCACGCTCGGCACCAGGACAGACTGTTCACCTCCTTGTCTCCCGGACTCCCCAGAATGGCCCTCAAACCTGCCCTTCTCTTCTTCCCCGGGCCCCAGCCTGAGGCAGGCTCTTCATCCCCACACGCTGGGGTCTCAGCTACATCCTCCCTCATGGTCGCCCTGACCCCACACTCCCCCGACAGCCTTCTCATTCCCCTGGGGAAAGAGCAGCCTAGGCACGTGCACGGAAGAGTCTGGGGAGACGGCACCCAGCACGTGCCTCCAGCGCCTCTGTTCTGACAACTTCTGTGCAGACAGATCTGTGGGCTGGGGGGCGGGGCTGGGGGGCGGGCACCCCCCGGGAGGGCCAGAGCCTGCTGCCAGCAGGGAAGTACGCCCAGCAGCACCTGCCACCCCTCCTGGACACAGAAGGACTGAGGGGACGGGGACGGGTGTGCACATGTGGGTCAGCACCCAAGGAGCAGACGCTGCTGGGTCCCCGTGTTGCAGAGTGACCCAAGGAGTGCTGTGGCCGGGGCTGTGGCCAGGGCATGGCCTGCGGTGGACGGAGCAGCCTGGCCGCCTGCAGGCCTGCACAAGGAGCCTGGGGGGCTCGGTCAGTTGAGCGCCCAACTTCGGCTTAGGTCACGATGTCACGGTTCATGAGTTTGGGCCCCCCGGGCGACTCTCTGCTGTCAGTGAACAGTCTGCTTCTGCTCCTCTGTCCTCCTCTCTCTGCCCCTCCGCTGCTCACACTTGTTCTCTCAAACATAAATAAACATTAAAAATATATATATTTAAAAAAAAAAAAGGAGCCTGAGGGTAAATACCCGGCCTTACCCCACTGGCTCCTATGAGCTCCGGCCGCCACAGGGCAAACGTGTCCACAGTCAGAGCAGTAGCCCCAACAGGCTGGCCCAAGCACCGGGGCACAGCCAGGGCCACAGGGGATCATGCCGGGAGGCGCCCCCTCTCCCTGCTCCCCAGCCCTCCCCCCAGAGCCCTGCCCGGCCACAGCCTGGGCCTCCCATGCCCCTCCTCCTGCACAGAGGCTCGGCTCCATGGCCACGGAGGACCTAGGAGACTCTCAGGGCCACACAAAGGAAGGAAATCATCCCCATCGTCACCCCGAAGCATGTGTCACCCGGCGGAAGATGGGCATGGAGGGGGAGCCGAGTCGATCCTACGGAACGACAGGGCTCGTGGAGGGGGGCGGGCACCGCCCACTGTCCCTCTCACCCCCGACACGGGTGACACCACATGGCATCCCTCATCTTGTCCCTCTGGAAAGCCGCGCTTCTGTGCCGCGTGAGCGCCGTCTGCAGAATGTTAATTAGGAAGGAGTAAACAAGTCCGCCAGCATCTTCCCTCACATTTGCTTCTAATTACCCACCAGGGCCCACGGCCCAGCTGGTGCCAAGGAGCCTGGAACAGAGCCAGGTGAGCTCTAAAATCGGCAGCTGGGGACTGGGGAGGGAGGGCAGGGGATTCATAAGACCCCCGCTCCATGCAGGGAGGAGCAGGCCCGCTGACTGCCTGCAGGGGTGAACTGTCCTCAGATGGCCGGCTGGGATGACAGATGGGGGAGGCAGTGAACAAGGACAATGAGGGACAGGAGTCTGGGAGGCGTCCCCTCCCTCACCTGTCAGCATCCGTGTCCCCCCAACTAAGGCAGGACTCCACACCCTTCAAAGGCAGCAGCTCACAGACAGCGCCACGGGCTGGTGAGCACCCTGGGGTGTGCAGAGATACATCCTGGGGGCCCAGTGTGGGGGGTGCCCATGGAGGGTGTGTCCTGGGGTCCCAGTCAGGGGGTGCACACGGAGAGTGTGTCCTGGGACCCACTGGGGGGGCAGTGCCCATGGAGGGTGCGTCCTCGGGTCCCGGGGCAGACGTGCACATGGAAAGTGTGTCCCAGGTTCCTGGCCCAGGGGCGTGGTGAGTGTATGTTCTGGGGTCCCACATGGGGCCATGGAGATTACACACTGTGGATTTGCACAAGGTGAGCAGCAAGGGTGTGGGGAGGCCCTTCTGTGGACCCTCCCTTCCTGGTGAGAGCCCTTCACCTGGGGGCAGACACCCAGATGGGATGACAGAGACACCCCATCCCCCACCAGGCCTCACACCAAACATGCACCCAGGTACTGGCCAGGGTGCAGAGCACAGCTCCCCATGGCTTTCCAGACAACCTCCAGAGCAGTCACGTGATACTGCTCTGGCCAATCAGCCACCTCCTCAGTGACTGGCTCTGGGACAGACATGTGACCCCTAGCAGCCAATCAGAGCCTGACCCGGGACTTCCTGTGACCACTGCGAACAGCATCTCCCTCCTTGACCCCGGCCGACCCGGAGGATCTGCGGATCTGCAAAGCGCTGACTCCGCTGTGTCTCCGCCAGGAAACCTGCCTCGGGTGCAGCCAGCACAGAGGCCACGGGCCCCGGAGAGCACCCGCTGACGTCACTGAGCCTTTTCTCCTTACGGGGGTTCAGCATGGCCTGTGTCTCTGGGGAGGGGGGAGGGCAGGGTAAGGAGGGGGGGGAAACAAGGGGGGGGAAGGAGGGAGGAACGAGGCGGGGGGAGGCCGACACCCACACTAACACCGATGCCCTCCGGGGCCAGGGCTTGTCGCCCTACCCGCCCCCGTGCCCGGGCTCACCCAGCACGAAGCAGTAAGTGCCATCTGTCAGCAGCTACTTCAAGGGCCACAGGATGTGGTGTAAAAGCACGTGACCCCTGAGGGGAAAGACGCCCGTCTGCCTGCGCCCCCACTATTCATGCTAACTTCACGGGAAACCACGTGAGCGGGCACCCCGGAACCCTCCTCTGAAGAACAACGGGGACCTGGCCAGGCGTGGCTAACGCTGCCCCCGGTGTCCCCCAGTAGGAACACGCGGGGCCCGGACCAGGAGGTGGGGGGCGCGCGGGATGTCCCCACACTGAAGGGGGAGCCCCATCCCACGCGTGAGCTGTTCCTCCTCTGGGGACCACACCCGGACTTTCTCGGGGCACTTCCTCCCCCACCCCGAGTCTACTGCCTCCGGGGAAGGTTGACCCCCAGCTCCTGCCCCAGGGCTAGAGCCGTGACCCAGGCCTGCCAGTCAGAGCGCTCCATTCAGCTAGCCCCGGTGAGGACTGGCCAATCAGAACACTCTACTCTTCTAACTCCAGTGCAGGCTGGCCAATCAGAGCACTCCATTCCACTAGTCTGGTGAACTGGCCAATTAGAGAACTCCCTCCTCTGGGCACAGTGAGCAGCCCCGGATCTACACACTCTAAGCCGGGCGCATCAGAAACGATGAAACTCAATCCAGAGACTTTTGCGGGAAACACAGGAAGAATAACAGCAAGAACAACGAAAGCTGTTTTTAGAATTCCACGAGACCCCCGCCCTCGGGGCACCCCGCCGGAGCCCGGAGCCGCCTGAGCCCGGAGCCGCCCGCCTGAGCCCGGAGCCGCCCGCCGGAGCCCGGAGCCGCCCGCCGGAGCCCGGAGCCGCCTGAGCCCCGAGCCGCCCGCCTGAGCCCGGAGCCGCCTGAGCCCGGAGCCGCCCACCTGAGCCCCGAGCCGCCCGCCGGAGCCTGGAGCCGCCCGCCGGAGGTGGCAGCCTCCCTTGAGCGCTGGGCCAGGCAGAACGGCCAGCGGGCCCACTTGGGAGGTCACCGGCTCCTCGGGTCGTGTTCTCTGTACCCCAGGATTTCGGGAACTCTGCAGGGTGGCTCCTGAGGCGCACACGAAGGTCCCTGCTGGGGCCACGAAGACAAGGAGCGGCGAGAACTCGCAGGGAAGACCCCGAGACGCACACTGACCCTGGCAGGCTGCAGGCACCCGCGCCTCCCGGCAAGCCATCTGGGGACGGGGGTCCTGGGGTGCATGCAGCGACCTGCGACAGGTTGCAGATGGGGTCCCAGGGCCCACGGTGTCTGGACACTCGCACCCACAGGTGGGACTTACCACAATGACGGACAGGGCAGGGGCCACGAAGGCCCAGACGGCGCCACTGTTGATGGAGAGCCAGCAGCTGTGGACGGAAAGGCAGTGTTACCTCCACATGACCGTCCCTGGGCCCCCGGGCTGGTCACGTCTGCCGGGGTAGGTGCTAAGGCAGGATGTTTGTCCACTAAGGGGTCAATCTGAACAGCCAGAATCACAGTGAACCCCAGCTGATGTCCCTGCACCCTACCCATGACGACCTCCGGCCTCGCAGTTTTGGTTCAAATGTTCCACCTCAGGGAAAAGGCTTTTACAGGCCCCTTAGTCAGTGGGAAAAATCATAACCTCTGCAGAGTCTGGCCCAAAACCAAAAGAGGTTTTAATTTTACTACGAAAAATAAACGAACTGACCTTCAGCAGGGCCTTTGTTCTAGAGCGTTTCAAACACAGACCTGACTAACAGGCCCCTTCTGCAGGGACTCAGCGCTGAGGAGTCTGCAGGTGACACGGTCCTGACCATTCCCCTCAGCTCCGAGCTAAGGGTCCATCACACCTCCTGACAGCGCCCACTAACTGAGTGAAAAGGCTCCCTGGACCCTAGCAAGTGCCCTGATTTCCAGAGAAGCCTCATCTGGGATGCAGGGTCCAGTTCGTCTAGGGAATGTGTCCAGCTGTCCCAGCTGGGAATCCAGGAGCTTGAGTCCCCTGCAATGTCGTTTCTTCCCGGAGCGTCAGGATGGCCAGGAGCCTGGGGTTCCCCGGGAGAGTGCGCCCACAGACCTGGGGACAGCCCCAGGGGTCCTGCCCACTGGCCGGGGTCAGGCAGGTGCAGGGTACAGTCCTCACCTCACCTGGTGTGCATGTCCTGCGGGGCGGCCTCGCTCTAACACCGCTCCCTGAGCAGCACAGGGACCCCAGCTCACCAACCCCCAGGCCTGCATCCCGGCTCACCCTCACAGCACCCCCTCCAGGAGGAACGATGATGACTCCCACACCCAGACAAGGAAACAGGCCCAGAGGGGTCAGGGGACCCAGGTCCACTCCCAGGTACCTCTCTGCCCCGAGTCTTCCCTGAACACCTCCAGGACCAGGACACAGGCATTCCCTGAGACGGGACATAGCCCTGTGAGTGCCCGTTCGCAGCTGCTCTGCGGAGGCGGCATTTCCGTGAAACACACAGCGAGCCTGAGTGGCTCCCCGCCAGGTGCAGGGCTGCCCGGGGCAGGACAGGGGCAGCTACAGAGAGGAGCGTCTTCCCACATGTCCTTGCAGAATTCTACACGTCCCTGTCCTCTTGGGAAACTCGGGGAGCCCCCCAAGCCTTGCTGGGTGGGACATTGCTGCGTGTGACAATGCCCAGGTGTGACGATGCCAGGTAGGACAAAGCCTGGGTGCAACTGGGGCTGCTCCCACCCTCCTGGGCTGCCCTTCCTGCAGGGCCTGGGGAGGCCGGCCCCGTAAAGACAGCCACGGCCCAGGGTCCCTCACAGGGGTCTTTCCCGTGAAAGTCCTGTCACATGCAGGGAGGCCCCCGTCACTTACTTTGTACTTGTTCCGTAACTATTCATGGCAAATGATATTGAAATGATGAAAATCAGGAGAGGAAAACCTGTGGGAAATGAGAGCAGGAAATCATGGCGCGTGCTTCAGTCCCCTTTACTCAGCAAGTCCCTCGTTCATTTACGTCTGGTGCGTGTACGCCTGGTGCGTGTACAGAGTGAGAGCTAAGTGCCGAGAGCACTGGGCTGCCCCTGCCTCCCGGAGCTTCAGTCTAAACCAAGGGCTAACTCGCATTCACACTGACCTGCACACTCACGTGCACACACACACGTACACACAAACTCTGAATCACATCCCTTATGAATCCAAGCCCGTTTCTGAAAACAACCTGCTCTGGCTGCCAGAAGAGCAGTGCCTCCCGGGGGGCCTCTGTCGGACCCATACCAGCACAGCAGCCTCTCCCCTGCCCTGGAGGGTGGGCCAAGGGGACGGACAGCAAAGGATCCACCCACCCAGTGGCCAGGGACACAGAGAGGGAGGGCTGCTGAAAACGAGGCTGCATTTCGCTTGCTTCCCCGAACAGAGGCTGGGGGTGGTGACCGCGTGCTGGGACCCACCTGCCTGCGCTGAGCCTACAGGGCCCCAGAGGAAGGCGAGGCACACGTGCCCCTGGCTCTCCCCGGTGCCTCACAGCGGTGGCCTCCTTGCCCTTCTGATCTCAGTCTTGAGCAATGTCCCGGAATAGGAGTTCTTAGAGAGCTGTCCTAGCTCGGAGCCACTGCTCTAACGTCGAAACGGCCCAAGTGCGTTCCACAACGTCCAGGCTGGAAAGCCACCAGCCCACGAAGGAGCCCCACCGCCTCCAGGAGAGGCAGGCAGGCCAGGGGCCTCTCACCGTGGCCCCAGTGTCCACACACGGCCCAGGGCACCCTCGCCACCTGGCGCACCTGGTGTGCGGAGATCATATGGCACCTGAGGTGGCGAGGGGCCCGGGGCGGGGCATCGAACCCCAGGCGCCATCAGCCACCTAGTGCCCCAGCCTCGCTGACCAAACGCAGACTGAGGGTCATCCTCCCTCTGGGTCCACGGGGCAGCAAGCGGGCACAGGGACCCGTCCCGGTGGGTTCTGGAAGGTGCCGCCAGGACTGGAGGTACCTCTGGGGAGGGATTTTCAGCCTCAGCAGTCAAGGCCTTTGCTCCGGGCCCTCCTGTTCCCGGTCCCAGCCTGCGTCGGTGGCTGGCATCCCTTTGCTGCCCAAAGTACAACAGAGGAGCGAAAGGTGCATTTTAAGCACTCACAGCTCGTTTGATCCCAAAGAAGATGCTGGAGGGCTGGGGCCGCCCCTGGGGCAGTGACAGAGGGGCTCCCTGTGAAGAGGGCGCCCCGCTCTCTGCGGGCTCCAAGGCACCACGGCAGGAGCCCAGCCCCTGGCTGAGCGCGTGTGATCAGAGGTGGGAGGATGAGGAGGCAGGAAGTAGCCGGCAGGCAAATCTTGGGCTCTGGGGCCGTGGGTGGTTCTGTTCCCGGGGCCACCCAGACCTGCTGTGTGGCCTCCAGGAAGTGCCTGACCCTCTCTGAGCCTCCACAGTATGCACAGAAGAGCACCCGGGTCCCCAGGCTGTTGTGAGGACCCCATGTGATGCGGCCGTGTGTGTGAATAATGAGGTGTCTGACGTGTGAGCCAATCCCTATAATCACGTGCACTGGTATTCACCAACTCTGGTCCCTCTTCCACTGCTGCAGTTACCAGAAACTCAGATCCCAAGTTTAGGGTCATGACGGCTTCTGCAGACAATGTGGGGTCCCTCCAGCCCTCACATGGACGTTTACTTCACAGAGTTGAAGACGCGCTCTCTTTGGAATGCGGTGACCCTCCAAGGGACCATGCTGGTGGCGTGGGCCCCCTGATGTCCCAGGAGGGGTGGAGGCAGCTGGCAGCCAGGACAGAGCAAAGAGCTGAGGGAGAGGGTCTCAGAAAGAACAGGAGAGGCAGCCAGGAGACAAGTGGTCTGACTTTCTGCCTGAGTCCCCAGTGCCACCTGTCACAGGCTTCTGGATGCTTCTCTGGGCATGTGGAAGGTTTGCACACATTGCCTCAAGGCCGTTGGGGCCACCATGCTCATTTGGGCCGTGGGGTGTGGACAGAAGTGACACGTGCCTCTCTGGGCTGAGCATTTAATTTCCAGTGTGACGCCCCTCCATGTCCACATTTTCTCTCCCAGCAACCAGCACCGGCTCCAGGCAGCGACCCCTCCAGCACAGGGACTGCCCCTCCCACTGCCATGGCTGCTAGGGATACGGAGCAGAAACAGGAAGTAGAGATGTGCAGCTTTCTGGCAAGGAGAGCTGGACGCTGCCCAGTGGCCCTGGCCCAGGCACCTGCCTCTCTGCACCCAGGGGTGGCGCTGGCCCACACACCTGGCTCTCTGCACTCAGGGGTGGCCCTGGCCTGCACACCTGCCTCTCGGCACCCATGGGCGGCACTGGCCCGCGCACCTGCCTATCTGTACCCACAGGTGGCCCTGGCCCGCGCACCTGCAGCTCACCCTCACGCCAGCTCCTAGAGCTCCAGATCAGCCGAGGGCAAGGGGGGTCCAGAATTAACTACAGTTAGGTGCGTGCCCCAAATATGTGGGAGCTCACGGAATTAAGTTGTGACAGATAAAAAGAAAGCAGGCTGCATGTCTCTCACTTCCGAGCGTGTACTCAGAGGGGCACGTCCGCCACACGGATGTGTAAACTTGTACATGTTTACCATGGTCTCCTCTCTTGTTCACTCATCTCACAAGTCCTAACTAGGGCCTGACATCTACCAGAACCTCAAGGTATGTCCTTGATTCAACACCTCCCCCCCTACTTGGCTTTGAAACACAGTGCCCAGGGTTTCAAGACCGGGGAGGACGTGGTGGGAAGAAGCCTCTGTGAGAGGCGCCCCCCTCGGCGGGGTGTCCCCGCGCCCTGGGTCAGCCTCTGGCTCCTTCCTAATTAGTAACTGAAGGTCGAGAGGCCCCGCCGCCTGCAGACTGCCTTTACTGCAGCGCAAAGCGAACTCCACCCCAACCAGAACGAAAGATGCCGTTCGTAAGCCCTGAGGAAATGAGCGACGGGAAAGCTGCCGGGAACGCCGGGGACGCCGGGGACCCCTGCCTGGTGCTCTCTGTGCAGACAGCTTCTGTCAGGGGCCGCTTGCCCAGGGACCCGCAGGGACTGTGGTCCCAGACAACGCTGTCGGACAGGATTATAAACTTGGGATTCCCAGACTGCCTCACTTTTCGGAAGACCTCTATGGTTTATATAAAATCTCTCAATTTTTAAATATGGGTACAAATAATTGATTTTTTCCTCTAATACTGCAGCCCAAATAAGAGCCCAGGGTCGCACAGGCTCTGGGGCACTCACAGCGGGACGTGGGACATCCCGGCCATCACAGGCAGCTTCCGCGTGGCCCCAGCACCTGGGAGGTGGCTGCGGAGGCCGGGAGGGTGCAGGGCGCACCTCCACCGCACCCCAAATGTATTACATCAAGCAGCTCCAGGCACAAGGTAAAGATGTTTCTCTTCTCCTTGCACAACGAAGACTGTGAAAACTAAATCCGGGTGAAGAAAACCAGGAACAAGTAGCAGGTCCCTAACGGTCAGTGAACGTTTCCAGCAGATGCAAGAATGTCAGGTGACACGGCCCACTCTACACAGACTCCGGCAGGAAGCAGGGACTCCTGGGGGTGTGGTGGGCAACAAGGAAGCTCACCGAGTCCAGTCAGTGGGGAGGGGGACTTCCAGAATGAAGCCATGATCTGCTGCACATACTCCTCAGGGAGACAATCCTAACTGGTGAAAAGTAGCCTAAAAGCCCCACAACCATTGAAAGTCTCTGTGTTTTCCTAAGAGCATTCAACAAACTGGGAAAACCTTATTCAAGAAAACCTACTGTGTCTTGGTAAGAAGAGAGGGTCTGTGGCCATCGAGCCACGACTTGCTCCACCCCAAGGAGACAAGGCTCCCCCGCCCTGGGCCCATCGAGAGCTACACTATCTCACGGGGGTGGGCCGCCTGCGTTTCTCCTGCAGAAGCTCTATTCCAGGTACGAGCAGCAGCCACCAGACCTCCCTTCTCCCATCCAGCCGCCACGTGCTGCGTGCAGGACCCATCCCCGTGATGCCTGGCTGAGGACACCGGCCCTGACTGCCCTCACCTCAGGGTACTCGCAGGGCAGAGGCTCCGTGCTGCAAGAGGCAGGCTGACGTCAGAGGCTGCCCACCCCTGCCAGGGCCACGCTCTAGTGCTGGGGTGCCAGTCCCAGAGAAATGAGACACGGTCCCTGCCGCAGCTCCTGAGCCTCAGGGGCTCGTCCCAGGTATGGGGGATACATGCCATTAGCACAGGGAAGTCCAACGCACTCTCCGTGGGAACAGTTTTTTTTTTTTTTGGAAGAGAGCATGGGGAAGTTCAAGTCTAAGAGCATCTGGCTTCTTGGAGGTGTGTCATATGAAGATGAAATCACATCCAACCTACTCCAGTCTGCCCCATCCCATCCCAATCTGCCACTTCCTACCCCTGCCTCCCCCACCCCATCCCCATGTACTCCACACACCTCCCCCATCCCGTCCCCACCTCCCCCTCCTTTCTTCACCTCCCCCTCCCATCCCCCCTCCCACCCCATCCCCATGTACCCCACCTGCTCCATTCCATTCCCACATACTCCACACCCACCCCATTCCATGCCAGCCCGCCCCACCCCATCCCCACCTACCCCATCCTATCCCATAGTAGTAGAGGTGCTTGCTGCCCTCTGAGCCAAAGACCTTGATCACCATGCTGTAGAGATGCAACCCTTCCACCAGCATCCACGCAAAGGCGCTCAGGAAGAAGTAGTGCAGGAGCATGGCCAGCACCTGGCAGGGGACCTACGATCAAAGGCACACAGGGGACACGTCTCTGGGTGCGAGCCGTGGGCAGCTCCTGCGGGCTCCGCCTCCCGCGTCCGATGCCGGGACTTCTTCTGGTCACGTGCCCTCATTTCCCAGCTCAGCAGAGGGGGCGGGGCCCTGGCTCCCTTTCTAGTCCCCGCGGTTCGGGTGGGGCGCACAACTCCGGCATAGTGATTGGTTCAGGAGAGGGCGGGCAATCAGGCGTGGCCAATCAGCACAAACACGCGAGTCCTCCGCAGGGGGATTGGCTGGAGGCGGTCACCTGAACAGGCCGGCCAATGGGGTGAGCTCTGGGGAGTGGGCGGGGCCCCCAGGGAGCCGGCGCAGGAGCTGGGGCTTCTCAGCCACGCGGCGGCCACCTGGCACCGAGCCGGACCCTCAACTGCGACGGGCTTAGGCCGCAGCGGGAACACCCGACCCCACATGGTGTCCCCATGAGGCCGGGAAGGGGGCTGAATGACTGGGGGGGAGGGAATATAAATTTATATACTAACTTCAAAAAATAATGTAAAGGAGGAAAAAATAAAAGAAGACTAAACGGCATGATTACGTCGTGCGCTCCAAGCTCTGCTCTCACAATGCTCCCGAATCAGCTCATTCTCCCGACGGCACCTGGTTTCCCGGGGCGCGGCTGGAGGTCCCTAATCTGCGCCACGTGCACATCAGAGGCAAGTGTCAGGCCTGCACAGCTCCGTCTCTGCGTCCCCTTCCTGGGGGCGCCGGCCACCCACCATCTGCTCTGGGACCTACACCCACGGTCACTCAACATCCACCACAGAGCTCAGGCCACCTGTCACTGTGAGCAAGTCGGGGGAACCTGACTCCCACAGCTCTTAAGCAGGAGATTAGGGCTGCACAGCCCGGCCAGGTTCACGGAGTGGAGGGCCGGCCTGCGTCAGCTCCCCACATCGTGTCCCCCATGCCACCAGGGCCCTGGGCCGCGCTGGAGCACCAGCACCTTCCCTGCTGAGCCGATGGTGAGCAGAGAGCCCAGCCCAGCCATGCCTTCTTGGCCTCTCCTGGACGAGCCCCTGCCCTGCCTGGGGGATCTGAGTCCAAGAAAGCAGCATAAGGTGCCAGACATCAGAAGGAGGTGGGGAGGGACAGAGGGGCTACTCACCGTGCCAGGCTTGAAGCTGAAGCTGATGAGCAGGAGGATCTGGGCCACGAGAACAGCAAAGGACAAGTTGGCGTGGATGTGGTAGCGCTGATTCCGGATGGTGCTGACTGAGCTGAGGGCAGACGTGCAGGGGTGAGGCTGGGCCGGACACAGCTGCTCCCTATCACCCCCCCCCAACCAAGGGCTGCCAAAGAGGTCTTTATGAAGCCCACCCAGATGCAGTCACTCCCCACTGCGGAACCTCAGTGGCTCCCTATTGCTCTTGGAAACCAGCCAGCTCCTTCCATGGGCCTCACCCCTGCACAGCCTGCCCCCTGCTTCCCCTTCGGCTCCTGCTCTGACCCACCTCGTTCCTCGTTCCTACTCCTGCTCACAGTGCCCTCTCCTGGCTCTCAAACACCCAGCCGCCTCCAGGCTCGGGCCCTGGCACCAGCCACGCCTCCCAAGTCTGCCCTTGGGGAGGACTTCCTGCCAGGAAAGTAGCACCTCTCACCTCCCTTGGCATTGCTGGCCAGGAAGCGCGTGCTCCTGCGTGTGGGCACTGGGCTCCCAAGCAAAGCTGACGGATGACAGACCGAAGAACGAATGTCCCAGCTCACACGGGGCCCGGCTCCTGCCTACCGTGGATGCCACCGGCCCCGCTCCCCCAGTTCCCAGGGGGGCTGAAAGCCTCTCCCTGCTGACCATGCTGCAGCCCCCGGCCCTGGGACCCTGCGGTCACAGCCAGGCCAGGGGCAGGTGTCCTCAGGAGACCAGGGCAGGCGAGGAGGGACACAGGGCTCCCAGAGGAACCCCTGGAGCATCGTCCCCCCTGCAGAGGAGGTGGGGGAGATAAGGCCCCCACACCCCAGGTGTGAAGCCACAGCCCGGGCAGCTACCTGGGTGTCGTCACCATCGTCTGCCCGTGAACAGGGCAGTTTCTTGTCCCGGTTCAGAAAGGGGCACCAAGGGATTCAGTTGCCGCCCACCCCCTGGGGGCTGCACCGACCCCCTGAGCTCTGATCAGACATGGCTTCCGCCAGGAGGGCCAGGGGCCTCCTGGAAAAGCACCTTCCGGCCTCTCCAGAGACCCCTTACGGAGCCACGGCTTTGGTATCTCGGGGTAGGAGGTCCTCGGTTCTGGCTCTTGCCAGTCCAAGGGTCAGGAAGCCTGTGGAATGGAGGCCCTTCCGGAACTTTCCAGCCTCACTAAAGCAGGGCGTCCTCCAATCCCACAGTCTCCCTTCCCTCCCTCCCCCCTCCTCCCTCGCACCCCCGACCCCTCCCTGCACCCTAGATCTCAATGGAAAGTAACTTTGGAACAGCTGTCTAGCTGTAATGCAGGATGTAGAGAATTTCACTGGGACCGGGCATCTGCCACGCGTGAGCACAAACGCCAGAGGGAAATCAAAGTGGGGCAGGGAGGCGCTGACATTTCCACCAGGGCTCGGAGTGGAGGATGACTCACGAGAGCATGGCGAAGGTGACCAGCGTGAGCACCAGGCAGACCACGGACAGCGAGCAGCCGATGTAAGTGATGGACAGGAGCGCCACCTTCTGTCCGTGTGTGAGCTGCGTGGGAAGCAGAGCAGAGGGGTCAGCGCGGGGCCGGTGGGGACAGGGCTCCCCCTGCAAAGGGCCCCAGGGCTGGTCCCAGCGTGCGTGTGGTGGTGACCACCAGGTCCTGCCTCTCCCCCAGATGCCCTGTTACCACCACCAACACAGGTCCGTCCAGTCCCGTGGCATCAGCCCTTGGGTCTCTCTGGAAGCACCGCCCCCAGTTGCCCCACCAAACCCTCCAGTTCCTCTGCCCATCCAGCCTCCGTCTTGCCAATGCCTAACCCTGACCTCCCCACCTGTCCCGCCCCCGCTGCCACCTGTGCCCCGTGACTCCCGGTCTACACCGCAGCACCCAGGGCTGACGAAGCCCCCAGCCCCGGAGCCATAACGCCCATAAAGTCCCAGGTAATGACCCAGGTGGGTTGCGACTCCTCTCTGAGGTCTCCCCAGGTTTACATGCCCGTGGTGCCGAGAGCAACGCCAGGGAGACGAGACGTGCCCTCTGTGAGTCTGTGTAGGGGTGGCTGTTACCCCTGATGCCAAGTAACGCATAATGAACTTGGGAAATGAATGGCAAACAAATCAGACGCAAAACCCCAAAGGACGGTGACACAGGCCACAGCACACCTAGCAGCACAACCCAAATGGTGGCTCCCTCGGCCCCAAGAGCCGGAGCCTCGGGTCAGGCTCACTTGACCCTGGATTCCAAAACACTCCATGCTCCCTGAGCAAGCCTGGGAGACCAGCTTTCCAGCACCTGTCCCTGCAGGCGGTCACTGCTGTGCTTCCTGCGGTGGCTCGTGGCTGTGTCTGTATCCGAGACCCAGCCGGAGCCCCGTCCCCATCGCCGATGTCCGTCCACACTGGACACCAGACATCGAGGTCCCTCCAACCTTGGCCTTGACACCCCAGGGCCCCAGCCTCCGCTCGTCAGAACCTAATCGGGAAGAACAGGAGGCAAGTCCCAGGAGGTAGGGGAGCTGCTGGGAGGGCTGCGAGCCCGGGGGCCCCGATTCCAAAGACCGGGGACTGCAAGTGGCTGGCACAGAGCAATTTGGGAGCCAGCAGGACTGTGCCTGAAGACAGACAACTTAATGGGTTTTACTTCTTCCAGATCTGTGAGTCACCACCGGTCAACTCACTCCCTGGGGCTATGAGACACTTTAGAGCCGTGACAGAATGGGGGCGGGGAAGGAAGCCTGGAGCCTGCAGCCCCAGATGCGGGGGGGCGGGGGGGGGAGTGTGTTCCTGCAGCTACATTCTCAGCCACAGCCCAGGATTTGGACCCCAACCTTCTCCCCTGCAGGTGGGCGGGCTGGAGGCGTTCCGAGTCATCAGGTGCCCAGGAGGGCGAACAGAGCCACCTTCCCATGCCACAGGGCCTGAGGCTCTGGCTCCTGCAACATATCGTTAGCAGGGCTCCCGGGGAGTGACGTTCCCGGCGTCAGACCGGCTGGCGACACCGCGTTCTCCGTCCCGACAGACACTTCAGGTGCTGTGAGCAGTGCGGGTTCCGAGAAACCCTAGGTACGATCAAAATATTTAGCTCCGGCCCTGGGGCGGGGGGGGGGGGGACGGCGACACCCAGCACCTCCTCAGATGGTTCTGGATGGGCTCTCACAGTGGGGGCGGTGGTGACTTTCAGGGGCTGGGAATAAAACCGAATACGTAACGCTGATACTGAACAGAGAACGTCCTCTTTCTTGCTGTCACAGGCAATTGAAAAGTCTCGTTGTCACCTCGGTGGCTCAGTCGGTTAAGCATCTGACTCTTGATCTCAACTTGGGTCGTGATCTCACAGTTCGTGGGTACGAGCCCCACATTGGGCTCTGTGCTGACAGCACGGAACCTGCTTGGGATTCTCTCTCTCCTTCTCCTGACCCTCCCCGACTCTTTCTTTCTCAAAATAAATAAACTTGAGGGGCGCCTGGGCGGCTCAGTCGGTTAAGCGTCTGACTTTGACTCAGGTCACAATCTCACGGTTCATAGGTTCGCGCCCCTGCATCGGGCTCTGTGCTGACAGCTCAGAGCCTGGAGCCTGTTTCAGATTCTGTGTCTCCCTCTCTCTCTGCCTCTCCCCTGCTCATGCTCTGACTCTTTCTCTTTCTCTCAAACATAGTAAAAAAAATTTTTTTAATAATAGATAAACTTTAAAAAAGAAGGCAATAAAAGTGTCATTGTTGCCATCACAATTAGCTTTGCCTGGAGATGTGGACGAGCATCAGATTCCAGAGGTCACGGACATCACGGACTGAGCTCTGCGCAGGAACTTGGGGCCGCCTCCGCCACTGCGGTACCCGCCAAACGGAAATGAATTTAAACAACCATGGAAATGCGAGCAAGTGACAGGTGACAACCGTGCCTGTGTGCAAGAGCTAGCCTGGCTCCATGAGGTCCTCACCCCGTGGCCTCAGGAACACCCTCTCCCCCTTCTGGCCCTGAGCCAGCCAAGTCCACAGGGATCTCCACACGGCTGGGCCCCAGCTCCTCCCTGCCCGCTACCACCCAGATCTTTCTCCCACAGGGCTGGTGAGCTCCCATTAACAGATCTCCCGCCGTGTCACGGCCCGGAGCTCTGAGAACGCTGGTGTCCAGAGGCGTCTGCTGAAGGCTGGGGGGCGGGAGGAGGTCTCCAGGCTCCGCCCCCACTGCCCACCCCCGTGAAAGACTTCCTTAACCTACATCAGCGTGCGTACATGTCTTGTGGACACAGCAGGGCCGCGCCCCTCCGCTCACGGACTTGGGAGGCCCCAGGGCCCTGGCGTGGACGGGTTCGCAGCGTGGAAGCTTCTGGTGTGCATGCGGCGGCCTATCGGCCACACTCACGGAAACCCCGCCTGTTTTCTGCTGGCCACTTGGCCTGGAGCTTCTGATGGACAGAGTCCAGCCCTAGCTTCGCACACACATCTGCCCGACCCGCCGTCAGCCAGCCGGAAGAGTGGATGGTTCAGACAGGAAGCCTGAAAGTGCCTTAATTGGGCACCTGCTGCATGTGGGCAGGGAATCTCGATGGCAGCCCTGGGGGTGAGCAGCACAGCTCTCATTTTCAGGTGGCGAAACGACACAGCCAGCAAGAGGCTGCGCCAGATCCCCCCAGACAGCCTGTGCTTCCAGGTGCAACAGGCATGCATTAAGCACCACTGTGTGCCAAGCACGGAGCTCACACGGTGGTGGGGACACAGACAAATGCACAAGTGAATAAATAAGGTTTTAGTTCCAGGCTTGGATGAGGTCTGATGGAAACACACAGGGGCCACAGTGCAGGCGGCTGGAGTGCATGGGGAGGCCTCTGATCCGAGGGTCCTCGGGATCCCCCTGCCCTCAGAGCCCACCCGTCCCCGAGCGCTGCTGGTTCCTCCACTAACCCAGCCGCGTCCTCTCTTCCTCTCTCCTCAATTTCCAGAGCCCCCGACCCCCACTGTGTCCGGAGACCCGCACTCAAGTCTCCACTGGGCAGGATGTCGCCCCGGCCACTGACCCAGAGGAGGCCCACAATGCTTCCCTCACCCTGCCCCTCGGCCTCACCCCCCAGCTGCTCTGTCTGGAGGCTTCAGACAGGAGAGTGGGACCCTCCCCATGGTTCGGCAGATGGCCTTTGACATGGGAAGGGGCTCACGAGGGCGTGGGGAACCCTAGAAGAGCAGAGCAATGACGGCGAGGTGCCCCAGAGAGCGGCCACGGCCCCGACTCTTGGGGGCAGGAAGGTCGAGGGGAGGAGGGGACAGGAGCAGACCTGCCTGCGGAAGGCCAGCGGGGCCGGGCACACCTGGCAGACCGCAGCCTGCCCGTCTCCCTCCGGCTGGACTTGGTGGGAAGCCAGTTGTCAAGGGAACCGAGGCCGAGCGCAGTGAAGGACACGTGGGAAGCCGCAGCCCCCTCGCTGGGCCCCCAGGCTGTGCACATACGCTGCCCCTCGCGGCTCCTGCCTCACGTGGTTTCCTGCGCCTCCTCCACCCACCTCGCTCTGCCCCAGCATCCTGTCTCCCGGGGACAGAACCCTGTCTCTCTGCTCCAGAACCCAGCTCCCGGGTCCTGCATCCCCTCAGGCCACCTCTCTGAACCCCGCTGAACCACACGCCTTCGTTCAGCCCGGGAACAGCAGCAGCACATGGCCCCACGGGCAGCCCGGGTTCGGTGACAGTCCCTGGGCTTCAGCTGTACCTGTGCCAGCAACACAGAGTCGAGGCTGCAGGTCAGGTCCCGTTCCAGTGACGGGGACGAGCCCACAGCCCTGAGGACAGGCAGACGTGAGCTCCTGGCTGCTGAGGGCATGGCTGGTGGCCAGACCGTGGCACCCACAGGCATGCACGGACGGGGACCCCCACACACACACACCGTGCACAGAGAAGTGGCTCCTGTGTCTTTAAAAAGACTTGTGACCTGCCTTCCTCGGGCTACCTACCTCATTAAAGGAGTGAGCTGGGGGGCCAGGGCTGACCCGTGTCACCCCCTTGTCACCCGGACCGTCCACCCTCAGGCACACGGCTTGTGCGCTAGTCTGAGGCAGCTGGAAACGCAGAAGCCGCCGCAGCCTCTCAGGAGCGGGACGTGTCATTCCCGGACGTGTTAACGAAGGGGAGGGAGGCGCCATCGGGCAAGAGTCAGGACAGGACCCCCTCCCCCAGCAGGAAGGCCAAGCCCAAGGCCCACGGCACGGTCACAGGCCAGGGCCAGGAGAGCACCTGTCCTTACCTCCCGCCGGAGCCCCAGCTGACGGGGACCCAGGGCCCGGGCCCCAGCACAGCGGGGTCTGCGAACACGTTCCCGCCGTGCCCGGCGCTGGGCAGCCACGTCCTGGGAGGCATGGAGCTCACGGCCCTGCCCCTGCGGCCAGCGGTCGGGCTGGGAGGCCGCCAGCCCCCGGGACGCAGACAGAGGCTGTGTGATCCCAGCTTTAGATGCAGTGGGGGGCGGGAGGGGGGACTTCAACACTGTGCTGCACAGTCCACACATCCTGTCAGGGGAGGCTGTGGGGGAACGGGGACCCAGTCCACCAGCCGCCAGACCCCCCC